GATGCCACCATTCGAACCACTGTGTAATTTCGATTAAAACCCAACCATTCGGCAACGACGACTGTGGTCGGAGATGATCGATGATCGTTTTAGGGTTTTTTTATAGTTTTAGTAAAAAGTTGGGGTTTTTTTGTAAATAATTTATTTTTTCTTTTTTAGTTAAAAATATTTTTATTATTAAAAATTAAGCGGTAAAAGTATAACTTGAAAACGTTAGGTACTTAATTTTAGTGAAAAATTCTTTATACACTAAAATATTTTTTTGAAGTAAAGTTTAGGCATTTATTTTTCGTATTAAGACTTTTATTTATAGTCTTAAATTGTTATTATGGGAGAACCATTCCAATTACAATTAATTCACAACATTAAGGTTTAAATTTCTGATCTTACAAGGAAATTAACAACATGAATGTTTAAATTTTTTATCTTAAAAGAAATTTAGTACCTCATTCCATTCAACTAACTAAATGGCGGTTCATATTTTATAAGATGAGTTACATGTTTAGTACTTAAATTATTAGTTTTTGTTCATTTTAGTACCTAAATGTTCATTTATTTTAAAATTATATCTAATGTTTAGTTTTTGTTTTACTCTATTTTATATATTTTTTATTAATCTGATGTAAATATACAAGTTAGTCTATTCAAAGATAATTCATAGGTTCGTACTATTCTATTTTATATTTATATCTTCACTGTTCATTATATATACATATACATAAATTGACTGGGCCAAAAGACGGCCCATTTTTTTGTACATCACTCATCAAAGAGAGGAAAAAACAAAACGAAAAATCTTGGCTGCGATCACAACCACAGACTAACCGTTGAAGAACGAACCGATAAAATTTAATGGCAACTTTCTTTTGTCTCCTTAACGACGCAGACATAAAGAATTAAGAAATGCTTTTGCTGCCGCCACCGCTCCCCGCGCGTTTCCCGTCTATTCAATTATCTTCACCAATCACGCGCCTCCACCTCAGCCTCCAAACACCCCAATGCGCCGCCGCATCCGCCGAAACCTCCATCAGCCTCTCAGTTTATAAAGGAGACGGGTATGGTGATGAAAATGATGCCCCAAACGATGTTCTTTCTATTCACAGGCGCCGTTACGACTTCACTCCGTTGCTCAACTACCTCTCCCGCTCCAACTCGTCGTTCGACTCGGACCCGACGCGTCGCCCACTTCACTCGACCCTATCGAATTCCAGTTGGCCGAGTCATACCGTGCGGTACCTGCTCCACTCTGGCACTCTCTATTGAAATCTCTCTGTGACTCTTCTTCTTCACCGTCGTCTTCCTCTTCTTTCAACCTAGCATACGCCGTCGTTTCGTGGCTTCAAAGACACAATCTTTGCTTCTCCTACGAGCTTCTTTACTCGATTTTAATCCACTCGCTAGGCCGCTCCGAGAAGCTATACGAAGCGTTTTTACTCTCTCAAAGGCAGACCCTTACTCCATTAACGTATAATGCTTTAATCAACGCGTGTGCCCGGAACAACGATCTCGAGAAGGCTCTTAATCTTATGTCGAGAATGCGTCAAGATGGTTACCAATCGGATTTCGTGAATTACAGCTTGATAATTCAATCGCTTACCAGGAACAATAAGATTCATTCATCTATTCTACAGAAGCTTTATGGGGAAATCGAGTGTGATAGAATTGAGGTCGATGGGCAGCTTCTGAATGATATAATCGTCGGTTTTGCTAAAGCGAATGATCCAAGCCGGGCTCTGAAGTTTTTAGCTATGGCGCAAGCAATTGGTTTGAGCCCGAAAACGGCCACCCTTGTGGCAGTCATATATTCCTTAGGTTGTTGTGGGAGGATTGCAGAGGCAGAATCTGTTTTTGAGGAAATGAAAGGAAGTGGATTGACTCCTAGAACCAGAGCTTATAATGCCCTTCTTAAAGGGTATGTGAAAGCGTGTTCTTTGAAAGATGCAGAGTTAGTTGTATCCGAGATGGAGAGGAGTGGTGTTTCTCCTGATGAACATACATATAGTCTTTTAATTGATGCTTATTCAAATGCCGATAGATGGGAGAGTGCAAGAATTGTATTGAAAGAGATGGAAGCCAATAATGTGAAGCCAAATTCTTTTGTTTATAGTAGGATTTTAGCTAGCTATCGTAATAAAGGAGAGTGGCAAAGATCGTTCCAGGTTTTGAGGGAAATGAAGAGTAATGGGATACAACCTGATAGGCATTTTTACAATGTGATGATTGATACTTTTGGGAAGTATAACTGTCTTGATCATGCCATGGCCACTTTTGATCGGATGTTATCAGAGGGTATCGAGCCAGACACTGTTACTTGGAATACTCTAATAGATTGCCATTGTAAAGCAGGGTGGCATGATAGAGCGGAGCAATTGTTTCAGCAAATGAAAGAAAAAGGGTTTTCACCATGTACTACTACATATAATATTATGATAAATTCATTAGGAGAGCAGGAGAGGTGGGACGATGTGAAGGGCTTGTTGGGGAAGATGCAGGCCGAAGGTTTGTTGCCTAATATCGTGACCTATACCACACTTGTAGATATTTATGGAAAGTCTGGGAGGTTTAGTGATGCCATAGAGTGCTTGGAGCTCATGAAGTCTGCCGGATTAAGACCTTCCTCAACTATGTATAATGCCTTAATAAATGCATATGCACAAAGGGTAAGTCATCCCTTCATTGTTTCAGTTCTCACTCTCTCATGTTAGGCATAGTTTCCCAATTACCCAGACTCATGCATTGCTATTGTATTCTTTAATCAACTTGTTGGTTGTAGAGTTAGTTTCTCCTGTCTTAGACTCTTATTCATACATACATGTTGATATATATACTCCACCATAGGGAGGCAGAGTTATGAGTGCTACTCATAATGCCTTTATGAGTTAGCGAGTTCATGGTATATAGATCAGTTGAGAGCTCTGATCCTCTTCAATGTGGTCTGTATAATGATAATTTTTGTGCATGATTCCTGGTTAGTGAACTTGTTGGGCAAAGTTGTTTGGTATACTTTTGTCGAGTGAGTCAAATGCTTAAGCAGGGTTATCGGGGTCTATGTTGTTGCAATAACAAAATTTACTAGACTAATGATATGCTTGGCTCAAAGACTGCATTTCAGTTCATTATTCTACTTAAAAGGTTTAGCTAGAGCTAGCTATATCGGATGAGATGTTTGTAACATACCTTTATTATCTTTTGTTTGCTTTTAAACAGGGTTTGTCTGAGCAAGCAATGAATGCATTGAGGGTTATGGGAGCAGACGGCTTGAAACCTAATCTCTTGGCTCTCAATTCACTAATAAATGCTTTTGGCGAGGATAGAAGGGATGCCGAGGCATTTGCTGTATTGCAGTATATGAAGGAAAATGTGAGTACTCTGTTAACACCTCTGTTTGCCTGGCTTGAAATTATTAGTACTATTCTTTTGAGTGATACTTATGACACTATTATCTGGTTCAATTCATATACAGGGTGTGAAACCAGATGTTGTCACGTATACCACACTTATGAAAGCTCTTATCCGTGTTGACAAGTTTCATAAGGTATTTATTAACACGTCCTTTCTGCCATGAGAATGAGATATTAGCCTGCTGCTTTCCTGTTTCATAAATAATATTTTCTGTGCCTTTGCATGCATACCCATTTGGATCAGTTGCCTTACTATCTTTGCTTTTTGCTGTGTTCGTGTTCGTGATCAATTATAATTGTTGCATATTTGAGTCTCAGTTATAAGTCACTCAAAAGAAAACATCTATAAACTTGCAGCTTACCAACATCTGGCTATCCCCCACCCCTTCTGTATCTGTTCTTTGCATATAGAACATTTATTCCAGTTTTTATAGTTGTCCTTTTCAGTAAACATTGAGAGATCTTATAAATTTGTGGTATTGGTCTAATCTATGCTGTGTCCATACATAATGCATTGCACCATGTGATCCGTTTATAATTGTAACACCAAGTTTTATTGTCGATCCCCTGTGTGGTTTGGATTCAGGTCCCAGCTGTCTATGAAGAGATGATTATGTCTGGTTGCACTCCTGATAGGAAAGCTAGGGCAATGTTGCGGTCTGCCCTGAGATACATGAAGCAAGCGCTGAAGTCGTAGTTGATAATCCATAATCCATATAGCTAAAGCAATTTATTACAGAACAACTTGTTTTACTTGTCGATTTGAGGTTAGTGTTCACGATCTTTTGATGTACAAATGTTTTGCATAATGCGCCACGAAAGCAAGCAAAAAAGTTCTTGCAGTTTCGGCTCACAAGCTCCTCAGTTGAAAATCTACAAAGAATCTTTTGCTATATCCAGTGAACTTTTTCCTTCCTAAACTGTTTTGCAGGAATTATCTATTGTACATGCAGGTTCATCCTTGTGTGACTCGTCGGAGTGATTGAACCCTATGAGCTGTGTTTCGAAGCTTGGAACAAAGAACATATGCCGTATGTTAGAGTACTACACATGCAAAATGATGTAGCTCACCCTTCTCTTCTTCGCATTTGAGTCAGACCGTTTTGAAATAGAAACAACATGGGTTGCCTGTATCTTGTGTGTCATACATCAAAAGAAGAAACATTCTATAGAAAACAACATTTCAAATTGTACTTCATTCTCTACTTCATTATATAGAATAAAAATCTTTTACGCATTTACACTCTCAAGATAGTAAAAAATAAAAAAGGGTAAAGTACACAAGACATAACACCCCTAAACTATGTTCGAATGATCATAGACATAACACCCCTAAACTAGTTCAAATGATCATTTTGATCATTGAACTTTTAAAATACCAAATGATTATTAAATTTATCAAACAACGATCGTTTTGTAACAATTCAATGAACTTAATGATCAATTTTTAACTTCTAAGAATTTTGTGATCAAAACAATCATCTCAAAAAGGAATGCAGTCGATGGATTCAACTTGTGGCTTAAGTTGAGTTTCCACAATTACCAAAATTTCCATAAACTCAATTGCAGCAAATACGCAAGGGTAACATTTGACACACCAGAAATGGCAAAAATTACTATCTACGTTATCTAGGAAGATCAACTTACAGAAGAAGAGGTCCTCTAATTAACGTGTACAAAATCACAACCTACATCTTTTTCAAAAGACTGTAATGTGCTGTTATTCTGAGTCCGTATTCTCTCTAAAAGTTCAAAGAGGAATGGCCGAAACAATTTGTCTGCTGGCTTATGAAATTCGAGAACAGAACATGAAAAATAACAGTACGGAGGACAGCATGAAAAGTCTGAAATACGTTCTTATTTCCTGCATCCCGACATCGGGAACCTCCATCTTCTTCCCGTATCTGTTTCTCCTTCCCATCAAGTAACCATCGAAGTAGTCATCAATGGATACCCATTTGTCCACCTTAGGTACAGCAGCCTTGGATTGGACATCAATCTGATGTTGTCCCGGCTTAAATATTGTGAAAAAAGCAGCAGCCCAGACATTGAGAACTCTCTGGAAACCCAAACAAAATCTTAGTTGTTACTGACGAATCAACTAATAAATCAACTCTTTGGAAAATTAACATACCTTGAAGGTGGTATGGTAAACTGGATTGAACATTTTAAAGCAGTCTTTTGTTGAAGCCGTACTATCTCCATAGATCTGCCACTCAACACGCAAATATGGCTATCAATGAGATAAATTCGCTTTATTTTTCTCTGGAAAAAGAGTTTGCAATTCAAATACCTCAAAGGTGAATGACATGGGAACTCTTACAACATCATACATGTAATCCGTTGCCGTCCCGTGTGCCAGATACCTGAAATCAGTAACATTCATATATTAGTGGGATGAGAATGCATGAAAAACAAGTGAAATATAAACACAACCTTTTCCCCCCCTAATTTTCTACTTTTAACAATGTTATGAAACAAGTAAGAGCAGTCTTTTAATTTGACGACTTTCCTTGCATATATAGCAACTTACATTCTTAAGAGTATTATAAGTAGATATCATGTGCTTAATCTAACTAGCATGAGCAATCGTCATTTCTTGAAGTATAAGAATACAAACCCGACAGAACCTCCACCAGAACCAATCATGCAACGCTTGTGGCAATGAACGTTATTCAACTCTTCAAGCAACAATCTCACTTGTTGTGAAGGCAATCCGTCTGGGGTTCTGTTTTTGTGGTCATACGGCATAAATAGTGCCTACATGAATTAAATAAAAAACAAGAAGTGGGTCAGATAGGCAACACATCTGACCAATTTCTAAGAGAAAAGCCAAGTACCAAAAGCATAAAGAAAAATGTTACACAGGATTAGAGTTTAAACATCCAAAGTACTCTTGATTATGAATTAATATCATTTTATTTATGAGATTTTATGTTTTTGTCATGTATGGATACATACTGAACCAACAGGATTGGTTCCTCTTCACAATAGGTAAAAGAAATATTCCTTTTAGTGAATCTAAATATTTTCTTGAGGTCTCAATGTGAAAAAAGAAGGGCATTTTAGGCTGCAATCATAGAAAACAATAGTTTAAGGGAAAAATCAGTACTTGAAGTTAAAAGGAAGACTGTTAACATGTGATTCATGATCACTCACCTCCATTCCAGAATGTACATTAATCCATATGTGAGGATCAAATGATATGGCAAGTTTCCGCATGATTTGGGTCTCAGGCTCACTGAAAGGAGCAATTCCAGGATTCTCTTCATATGGATCATAGTCTTATATCCAAACAAAATATTTTAATGAAAAACCTCATCATGTGAACGGAGATACAACTTAAACATGAAACTGCAGTAAGAACTATATCAAAGAGGATTTGCATGAAGAAAAGGGAGATATGATAAACCTTCTCCTTCTTTCCCCATTCTACACTCCAATTCCTATTAAGATCAACTCCTCTCCCTGCCAAAGAAACCTGATTTAAACATTTCAACTTCTTATCACAAGATCATAGATATTTTATATCGTTGAGATAAAATTGAATTACCATTTCTTCTTTCACAAAGATTTCCTGCTTCGACAAGCTTCCGACTTTCAGATTCTCCATTGGCACTACCTGCCATATTATTGGATGTTAGCACTCAAGTTATAAAAGGTCTGTATATTGCATCTCTCAAGCAATCTAGCATCGCATGCTCGTATTAAGTTAAAAAAATATCATTCACACTTCCACCTGTAGCAAACTCGTAGTCGAAGTTCGAGTAAGACAAGTCGCTTCACCATTCAGAATCCCAACAAAAACCAGGAATGTTCTTGCAAGTAAATAAAAGTTACCTTTATGACAACATTCTCAAGGGTAGCATTTAAGGAAGCTCGACCCATTTTCGTGAGGCACTGTTCTTCACTTAAGATAGACAAGATCCGCAATGCCAGTTCAGATGTAATAAGCTCCCGTCCATGCTGCCCAAAACTCTGGAAGACAATGAATAATCTGTCAAGAACACCAGCAATTACTAATCTGAGATCATATATTAACTACATACCAGATAAGAAAAAAGTTAGCAGATAACTGATTGTACGCAAATTTAAGCAGCTGATTCAATCTGTTACAATCTTTAATAACTACAAGGAAAAAAAATTAATTGTTCTTGCCATACTATATATCAAATATGGTCAGGCAGGAACTTTCAAGAAGGATCCGGGAACTTGGATTTGTCATCACTGTGTTTCCTACTATGGCTATAAGTAACAAAAGTTATCTCTGACTTGTACCCTTTGTTTACAGCTCTAATTGTTTCTACCTGTTAACGGTATGGATATATAAAACCAAATTCTCACACAAATTTGTTTCCAAATACATAAAGTTTTAGTTCATCTACAGTGAGTTTGTCAGGGTGTCGATGCACCAAAGACTTTATTTGTTCAATCAAAGCATCACTGCGAAATAGTATAAAAGCAAATTAAAACAAGAAAAAGGATGACAAAACTCTGAATTCCAAAGTTCAACGACACTTTTTAAACAAGGATTGAAAACGATAACTGAAAATATATTTGGTTTCTGAACTATATTCTTCAAACCATTTCAACAATCTAAAGTAGAATTAACTCCTTTTGTTTCTCATGTCTCTAGATAAAAAAAAAAAACCCACTCAACTTAAAGAAGTATGGCAGAATGGTCAAAATCCAACGTTCCATTATATTATTGCAGATTCCACCATGCCAAAATAATCTCAAAACGGCAGGGTATCATGTAATTCCCTAAAACTAGCCTGGGCAAACCTATTTACCATATCTGGAGGTTTAAGGCTTCGAATCTCTCTTGGAAGGAAGATCAAACAGTCAATTTGACTACAGCAGGCTAAGGAAGCATCAAAAACACATTTTATTAAAGAAATCTCCCTATTTGGAAATGATGAATCGAACATATTCAGAATATGATCCCTTTATTCAAATATAAGTAATTTGCTTTGCATTAACTAATTAAAGAAAATCCTTTAAAAATCTTGAGATTTACAATCATCCGTCGGGAAAGCTATCTCAACTATTTCTCATTCGTAAAGAATATTCTTCCCACATTGATTTTAAAAAAAACAAATTGAATATAACTTGAATATTAACGTAAAATAAAAAAAGGCTAATTATAAATATTTATTACATTGTTCGACTTAAAATAAAATGAATTAATAATTAGCAGAATGAAATCGGTTTATTTCAAGTTTGCATTTTGTTCGAATGTCATAGCGGATTGTACCACTTCGATCAAGTGATACTTTCCATGCCCATTCTACAAATACCATTCTCAAAACCATTCGAAACAAATCGATAGATAAAGAACACAATGAAAACAAATATAATTTGAAATTTATAAAATAAATATTTAAAACACATAAAATTAATAATGTTTCTAAAAAATAATACCGAGAGTCGTAATATACAAAATACATTTACATGAGGGACTAGAACGAAATAAAATCAAATATTATAGATCTAAACACAAATAACATAAATAATCAAATTTGATGATTTTAAGGGACCAAAATAAAAATAACAGATACTTACAGGATTGAACAGCAAATAAAAATTATCCAGAGCCAAGAACAAAATATTAAACAGTACATATACTAGAAATGCAAATAACCCAAAAACAATAGTAAGGACCAAAATGAAATGAACAGAAACATAAAGGACCAAACAATAGATAAACCAAATGCTAAACAGTGACTAAAATAAAATATTTACAAATGTCATAACCAAAATCAAATATTAACAAAAATGCATAATATGTATAAACATGGATAAAATACAAATAATAAAGCATAATTGCTCGAAATAAAAGAAAATAAAAATTCATTAAATGGCTTTACAATGAGATTACAAAATACAGGGGACCTAAATGGCTATTATCCCCTAATGTGAAAACATGGAGAAGAAGGGATGCAAAACGACACTGTTTTGCTTTGGGTATTTAAACTCAAACCCACGCCTTATCCCCCCAACTCCCCTCGTTTGCTTATGTTTTAGAAAACAGATAAAGAGAGAATTCTTATATCCCCTATGTATTTTTCTCTCTTTTTCTCTAAACCCCAATCCTTTTCTCCCCTAATGCTTCCCTTCTCTCTAATCCCCACTCTCTCTTTATCTTCTCAGCCATTGTGTTGATAGATTTGAGTGCCTCTCATAGCCCGATTTTTATCGGGATTCTCTGATTTATCTTGGGGTCTTTTGTACTTGTTTGTTATTTTTTTATTGAGTTTTTTATTCTTTTTTTCTCTGACTGAAGGTGGATGGTTGTCACTGTGTAGCCAGATTTTTCGACGACGATGGAAACAGTCGGTGGCGGCAACAGGGACTGGCGGCAACAGAAGCTACCTAGGGTTATGATGAAACCCTAGGTAGAATCGGGTCGAATCGAGTTGGGCTGACTCGGGGTCTCCTTCGGGTCGGGTTTAAGGCCTATTGGATTCCAATCGGGTTGGACTTGGTATTGGGTCGGTCGGGTATGGGCTCTGGTTTTCTTTGTAAAGGGTTAGATCTTGAGCTTGTAATATGGGCTCAGTTTGAGTGTTGGGCTTGGATGGAGCCTACAAAAATGTAATAATAAATCATAATTAATAATAATAATATAATATTTTTTCGAGACCCGAACAAAAACACATGTCTAGCTACATTTTTCATGATAAATTGAACTCCATGACAAAAATCACAAATCCTTTTTTTTTTTAAAAAAAAGAAAAGTAATAATAATGAAGAAAAAGAGAAAAATCATACATGGAATGGTAAAGATCCGAGTTGATGGGAGTAAAAAAAAGTTGAGTGAGATCAACATCGGCGTTAGCAAAAGTAATAGGGTGTTTTTACAAAAAAAAATTACTCTGACAGGTTTTAATTACCTATTAGGCATCGTTTCAAAAACTTGTATTGATCTAGTACCCTTTATAGAAAAACGCGGTCTGACGTGATGTCAACTCGGATAGAGTGTGGATGATGAACTGTGCCTTTATGGGATAGGTATTAAATCCGCAAAATTTTTTGAAACATTATCCGATAAGTAATTAATTTATGTTAGAGTGATTTTGTGTAAAAATGCCACGAAATATTAAGGTATTAATTGTGTTTTGTTTGTTGGAAAAAAGATAAAATTTAATTAGCCAATTATTTTTATTTCCTATGTTTTGAAAAATTAAATCTTATGACCATAAAGAAAATTACGTGTCTTTTACACTTGTAATTTTCTTCAAATAATTATTTTTCTTTTTTTAATAAATTTTTTAATTAAATCTTGGAAATAAAATATTAAAATACATTTTTTCAATAATAATAATAATAATGAAAAATAGTGCCAATAAACTTTGTCTAGTTCTTGATTTTGTCATTATTTAACCATTTTTTTGTGTTGAATACGTTTTTAAATTTAATTGAGCTTCAAAGTTATTCTTAGATACATATCGAGTATAAAATTCTTATAAATCTATATTTTAATATGTTTCTGATACGCTGATTGAATGGATAATTAGTGAATTCTTATAAACCACTGCTAGTTTAAGCGGATACGTTGCTTATGGGGATGACGCCCATTTAAAGGTTAATTAGTATTAACTCATTAAATTTTTATTAATGTGTGATGTTAATAAAAGAATACAAATTAATGAATCAATTATCAAAATAAAACGAATTAAAAATATAATAATTTTTTTGAGAAATCAATGATGAAAAACTCAATAATCAAGGTCAGCGCCGGTCTTTTCTAAGGTAGACATTACTAGTTTATTAGTTAAATAATAAAAAAATCAAGAGACAATACAAAGTTTATTAGCACTATTTTTCATTATTATTATTATTATTATTGAAGAAAAAATGTATTTTATTGTCTTATTTTTAGGATTTAATGAAAAAGTTTATTAAAAAATAATTATTTAAAGAAAATTATAAGTGTCAAAGGGGCATGATTTTTTTTATGGTTATAGGATTTAATTTTTCAGAAGATAAAAAATAAAAATAATTGACTAATTAAATTTTATCTTTCTTCAAAAAAAAACAAAACAAAACAAAGCTTCTTCCTTAATATTTTTATTGTGTTTTTATACAAAAAATCATCGTAACAGAAATTAATTACTTGTCAGATACAGTTTTAAAAAATTTTATGGATCTAACACCTATCTCAGAAATGTGTAAGTTATCATCCGTGCTTTATTCGAGTTGGTGCCACGTCAGGGTAAGACGTGAATAATTATTAGTGTCTTTCTGTAAAGTGTGTTAGATCGATAAATATTTTTGAACTAACGTCTGACGGGTAATTGAAACTTATCAGGGTAATTTTTTAGTAAAATCGCCTAGCTAGTGGGAGTTAGCAAAGAAGCAGAAAGGGAGAGGATATAAGAAACGAGAAGAAACAAACCAGCCATCGCCGATAATAGTCGGAGAAGAGAATAACGCTGATTCTGCGGCTGTTGAACTGGACAATTAGCCAAAATGATTGAACTTTGCAGTTCTGGCAAATTCAAAAAGGGTAAATTATGTCATTGACCACCTAACTATTTAACCTTTTATTTTTGCTACCAATCTTTTAATTTTATCAATCAGATCACATAACTATGTAATTATATTCAATCAAACCATTAGTCGTTAATTATTAATGAAAATGTTGACGTAACAGTTAAATATTTTGATATATTATACATAAATACATTTTATTTATATATTCTTTTAATTTAATCTTATTTTTAATAAATTAAAATATATTAAATCATCCAATCGAACTGTGCCACGTATCATCTTATTTTTGGAATTTAATTTATTTTAATTTGATATATTTTTTCTCCACCAAAAAAGAGGGTAACACACCCTTTAGGGGGTGTTTGGTTCAAGGATTGTGGGATTCCCATAGAATGGGAATCCCATATTCCCATGTTTGGTTGGTCGGGAATCTCATTACCGGTAATGTTTTATTACTAATAGTAGATTTTTTTGGTATATTACCGGGAATGTCATTACCTCCCTTCCCTTAGGTATTGTAAAATTACCGGCGTTTTGGACTAAAATGCCCTTAAATTTTTATTTTTTTTCAAAAATATCATTCTTATGTCATTAAATAATAAAAATTCTACGAAGGTTAAATTACAAATTTATCCTTAAATTATTTTAGATTTACAAAAAAATTCTATAATTAAAATTTTATATGAAGTTCAGGGGTTAAAATTTTTTTTATCCTTTCATTAAACATTTTTTATATTTTTAATTTTGTAAAAATTATATAAATATATGAATTTAATTTTTTAAAGAAATATAAATATTTTATAATTTGTAATATTATACAAATATATAAGGATAATTTGGTTAAATATGCATTCCAATAATCTTTTATTCCTTTAACCAAACACGGTAATCTTACATTCATGCTAAACCAACCAAACACAAAATGTAACATTCCCAGTAATCCTATTCCCTGGTAATCTTTTATTCCCAGATAACCATATTTTATATATATTTTATATTAAAATATATAAATACTTAAATTAATGATATTTTATATATATTTAAAAATATATTTTGTTTTATATTAACTTATTAGATATATTTTTTATTAACTTAATTTAAAAAATATTTTTTTTATTTTAATTTAAAAATATATATTTATTCTTATCTTAGCTCAAATATATTTTATGGTTATTTAAATTTTAAAAATATTTTTATAACAATAAATATTCATAAATATATTTATAAATAAAAATGAAATATATTTTTTAAAAAATATTATTAAATAAGCATTTATACATTTTGATACAAAATATATAAAAAGTGTTGTAATTTATTTTAAAATAAATTAGTATATATAAAAAGTGTTGTAATTTATAAAATATTCATAAATATACATTTTGATACAAAATATATTAAAATAAACTAAAATAAATTAAATTTCAAAAAATAAGATAATAAATTAAATTCTAAAAAATAAGATGACATGTGACACCATTCGATTGGATGATTTAATTTATTAAAAATAAGACTAAATTAAAAGAATATATAAATAATAGGACCACATATGTAATTATATCAAAATATTTAACTTCCACGTCAACATTTCCTTCAATTGTTAAACGGGTAGTGGAATGACTACGATTAAATAGTTATGTGGTATGATTGACAAAATTGATAGATCAATGAAAATAATAAAAAGACTAAATAATTAGGTGATCAATGGTATAGTTTACCCTAAAAAACAGAATTCTTTAAAAGAAAAATAATCTGAATATTTTTTTGTAAATAGTTCCTATTATATATATAAAAAATATGAATCCATATACCGATTTCAGTGATTAAAATATTTTTTATTTTTGAAGTATCGAGTTAGAACATCACGTATGAAGGGATGTGAATGTTTAATGTCAAATGATTAAGAATTTTTTAACAAAAATTACCTTATATTCACATTAGACTGATGAAAAATAGAAAAAAAAAATGTGAATCTTTTTAATGATCTTAATAATGAAAGGAAAAATTATTTCTTAGAGAATACTGATTTGAGCAGTTGTATATGTTTTTGTTAATCAATAAGTTATTTTTATGAATTTTTATATAATTAAAATAATAATGTATTTTATTCGGGTATATGTTATAACTTTCTTAACAATTTTTACAGTGAATCTATATGAATTCCATCATAGACATAATAAAAGATAACAACTTGGCTCATTTTCTAGGCCAATGTCTAAATTTATAAAACATCTCTATTTAACTTCCTCAATTAGCTTTCCATGTTTAGACCATTAAGACATTGCAACCATCAGATCCTTAAAAAGAAGAAAGGAATTCTTCCGAACTAAATGCCAACTTTTAAGATGACGTCTTCTTCGTTGTTAACCGACAATCCATACTTGATAGTGTTCTACCCAACAAAGAGAGGAAAGAGATTGAAATCAAAACTCAGGCTATGTAAAGGAATTTCTAAGAACAAGCTGTAAGAATTGGTTGCTGCATGCGAGTCTCCACCTTGAAAACAGATAAAGATGGTTTTCGCTCCGGTTAATTATATACTGATGTCTATGTAGTGATCATAAGGTATATGAGGCCTTTTAGGTACTCTACGATTTCAGACCCGCCTAGCTTTGAACTTCCGAACACTCTGTCAACGAAAGTTATTGGAACCTGTAGACGGTAGAGAATCAAATCGATGTGATTGAGTTGGCTTAAAATTGAAACATGGGATGGGACAAAACCAAATAAAGTAAAGCATACGAGCAAACTCCAATGTAGATGAAAATGCAGGACAGAAGAGTCAAATGCGAAGAGTTAATAGTGGTTTCCATCACGGAATCCCATTGCGAGGGTATAGTACTCGAGGCCGATTTCTCATCTTGGGATTTTAAACTGAATTATACCAATTCGACTCTTACATACAAATGATAACGAAAGGCCCGAGTATCTGTCAGTTATTCATAAGACTGTTCAAGTAATGAAATGAAATTTACCTCTTCGATGTGATAGCCTTTTCTTGAAGCCCTAACAATCATCTCCATTTGAAATACGTATCCCTTGCTAACACAGGAGGAAATGACATCTTCGAGCACTGATTTCTTATAAAGCCTTCAAAAGAGGAGGAAAATGAAATGTTAGTAGGTCTAAAGATTGAACCTATAACAGCATGAGATAGACCATTTTCCGTAGATTAGTTCTCAGACCTGAAGGATCCAGTTAGGTCCGATACACAAGGCCACAAAAGAGTCTGTGCAAGAACATTGGCTCCCCTACTTGTTAACTTGCGCATCAGATTCCATCCATGCACCCCACCGCCTGTAACATACCGTGTTCCAGTAACTATGCTGGCACCAGTTTCCATCTGTTTCCTAAAAGATGTCGTGACCCCGCAGATTAGAAGGATTTGAGTAAACCAGGCATAATTACGAACCCAGGATTTCTTACTTGATGAAGCTTGGCAAGTATTTCGGCTGCAAAACAAAATCAAAGAATTAGATCGGTATAAATAGATACCGAAGACACTAGTTTTTTTACATTTATTATTTTTATTATTATTATTATTATTATTATTATTATTATTATTATTATTATTAATTACAAGCCCAAATCAAAGGCCTAACCAAAACCGGCCCAGACCCAAAAGAAAACCCTAAACCAATTTAGGGTTTCAGCTAGGGTTTTCAAACCCTAGCTCCCAGCCGCCGCTTCCAGTGAGTTCCAGCCGCCCCACGTCTACACTGCCGACGCCTCCACTTCCAGATGTCTAAGCCCGCCGTTGCCATGATGCCACGCCTCGAAGAAACCTCCAGAAGCACCACGAAGCCACACACGTTGAAGCCCTATGGTGAGTCACCACCATAGCTATGGTGACTCACCGAAGCTTCCCCTTTTGGACTGGTCCGATCCGAGCACTGTGGTGGCTATAAAAAGCCAACACCAAACCTGAAAAAAAGAGGACAGAAAGGAAGAATCAGAGAAAAACGGAGAGCAAAAATAAAAAAAAATAGAGACCAACTCACAACAACCAGCAATCAAACCGAGAAGAGAGAAGGAAGAGTTTACCTAACCGGAGAACCCCAAACGACACCTGAGAACCAAAAATACCGAAGGTATTTTCCTTAGATCTAGGAAAATCCATAACTTTTTAGGATAAAAGAAGGGTGAACTCGGGTTTAGGGTACTCGGATTTAGAGTTTGGGAAATTTTGGTATTCTCCGACCACCAATGACGGTGGCCGACGGTGAGGTTGGCGGTGGTGCACGACTGCCGCCCGATGACCGACTTCCCTCCGGTCAGGGAAGCTAGAGAGAAGCGAGAGAGAGTTTAAACTCTCTCAGTTTAGAGAGAGGAAAGAAATGAGAGCTGGCCCGAAGGGCCAGCCGTTGAGGGACTTAAATACCCCTCCCCGAACGACGCCGTTTTGGGGAGGGATCTGTCTGTAATTAATTAAAAGTTAAACCCTTTCCGCAGCCATCCTAATTTGTAATCCTTACATTTTAGTCACTAAATCAATTTATAATCCTTTTAATTCGGTTCTTTAATTTTAATTTTATTTATTTTAGTCTTTTATATTAAATAATATATTTAGGATAAATAACATATTTAGTCCTTTAATTTTAATAATTAATATTTTAAACCCCGAACAACATATTTCAATTTATTTTAATTTGATATATGAATTTTATATAATTTTAGTTTAGTCACTAAATTAATAAATAAGAAGAATAGCATGTTTAGTCACTCAAATTTTAAATAAATTATGAATTAGGTATTTAATTCTATTAAGTTACAATTTAGTCACTAATTTCAATTTTTATTTATTTTAAATATATAGTTTTAATTTTGTTCATTGTTTAGTTATATGTTAATTTTATATGTTTACTTTTAATTATTATTATTATTATTATTATTATTATTATTATTATAATTTAGCTATAAATATATATTTATACTATTTATTTTATTTATTAAAATCTTATTTAATTATTTTTAACTTATTTTAATCATGTTTTAATATTTATTTATTTTTCAATATTAAGAAAGGGCAGTCTTAAAATAACTGGATGTCGTTTTTCTGATATTTTTAAATAAATAAATATCCTATTTTATAAATTATATATTAATTATTTTTAATTATTTTTTTAATATCGAAGAAAAGAGCTGTCTTAAAGCACCTAGAAGCCATTTTCTGATATTTCTAAATAAATAAATATCTTATTTATATTAATATATTTTCATAAAATTATAAATTTGAAATAAAAAAGATTATAAATTAAATATATCTTTGAATTTTTAATTTCTAATAATAGAGAATTTATAATTAAAAAGTACCAATTTTGGGCGTTGTAGGGGTGCTAATCCTTCCCTAAACGTAACCGACCACAAATCCCTTTTTATTATTAAAAAGAATGAATTTTTGGTTAAAACGCAGATCAGTTTATCTTTTAATCGATGTTTTCTTAAAAACTCTTTTAAAGGATGATTTTTAGGTATTCGACTTACCTGATCCAAAATACCGGTGGCGACTCCCAAATTATTTATAAAAAAATCATTTATTCACATCATTTTTCCCGCCAAGTAAAAAATTCGTGCCCGGACGAAAACCGATTACGAAAGATACTAAACAGGCACTGAAGTGTTGTAAATGGATTTACGGTACAAGAGGCATGTAGAAACACAACATTGAACTTACATGATGTGATAGATCAGCGTCCATGATTACTACGAAGTTCCCAGATGCATGCTTCAAACCATGCACATAAGCCGTTCCTGAAACCAATACCAATTCAAAGGCTAGCTCCAGGTTACTCCCGAAAGGCAATAATTTTTCACTTACCCAATCCAAGCTTCTTAGCTCTAGGTCTCAATAACTGCATGATCAAGAGGAGAGAAGCAGATATTAGGATACGAATCGATTAGTGAAACCGACTGCATATGAATCAAATTCCGAAGGTATATTATCATGGAACTTACAATACGATCCTCCCCATATAGATCCTGCAGCTGTTTCAATACTTCTCGAGTACCATCAGGGCTACCATCATCCACGACAATTATTTCAAAATCTACATCCCTACATCAGGCATGGGAAGTTACAACAGCTTACATCCGAAGATGTCACGAGTCGGAGGAAAGGTTTTCTTAAAATGGCCAACCTATGTTGTTAGTGTTATGTGGTTACACTGCTACTCATTTTGACGAATATAAATCTATAACCAATCAACAAATGTTTTCCCTTCCATGGTGTCAATTCATTTTCAGTGAAAATTCAGTTTCCACACACACAATTCTTGTGAAATTCTAACATATATATATATAGGAATTTCAAAATTTACAAAGACAAATGGGATCATTGATTAAAAAGCCCAGAGGTTGAATTTCACACAGCTGGTAGAATTTTACTCTCAAGTTCTTTCCTTCCAACCAAACACAGTGTAAACGATTAATCTACATCCATCACACAATTCAAATCATTTCAAGAATAACAAAAACAATACTATAAAAAATTAGCTCGATGAGATTTAAGAAAAGCAATCGAATCTCGATTGGAGCACGCCAAAATACTTCGATGAAAGAGATTCAGGTGATAAGAGAAAGAAAAGGAGAAAAATTGGAGTTGTTAGGGACATACCGGAGATGTTTGAAGATGAGATAGACGATCAGAGCAATGTTGAGGCGCTCGTTATAAGTCGGTACTATTATACTGTACTTGTTCTTCGCAGCATCCATTTTCGTCGTCTCTCTAAAACCTTAAACTTTCTTAATTCCCGTTTTCTCCGATTATACCAGCAACGATCCTTGATCGATTTCGTCTTCAATTTGATAAATGGTGTTTTAATTTTGATTTTCCATTTTTCAACAACGCCTTACTTCGATTATATTGGGCTAAGAGAGCAAGAAAGAGGTATAAAACTCAATTGGGAGAAGGTCTTATATTAAAGCCCATCAAGCAGAACAATTTTAATTGGGCCGAAATCTAAACCGGAGTTGGGAATAGAAATGAGGAGTAATCAGCGAATAACCCAGTCTCATCACTAGGGTTTTGCGAGTTTCACAGAAGCAAATCAGGCGAGCGATAAACAATGAGTCGGAGTTTGGGCATACCGGTGAAGCTACTACACGAGTCGTCGGGTCACATCGTAACGGTGGAGCTAAAAAGTGGAGAGCTTTACAGAGGAAGCATGGTCGAGTGCGAGGATAACTGGAATTGCCAGCTCGAGAACATCACCTTCACTGCTAAAGTACCACATTTTCCCTTTCCCTTTATTTAGTTTGATTCGTTTATATTTATTTCGATCTGATGAATTCTGGGCGTAGGGTTTTGCTCTGTTAGTGATAAACCTTAAAATGAGAAAGGAATCTGGACTTGAGTTCATAAATGAGAAAGGAATAGGTCATTGAGTTCTGCTCGAATTCAACGATATAACTCGGCAATCACTTGCTGCTATATCGCACTCTTTCAGTTTTGATTAGTGGTGGTTGTGTATTCTAGTTTGTTTTTGTTTTCTATCCAGTATCCAGTTTAATCAAACTAAGGGCAAGTTCCTCTCGTTCCCATTTTCAGAAGTGCATAAACCTTTTTAAAGGCATTTTCCCATTTCCTTTGGCTCTAGCTTCTTTTCATCTTTACATTAGTTTGCAACTGAATTCGATGATGCTTTGGCTTGATTTCAGGATGGAAAGGTTTCACAGCTTGAGCATGTTTTCATTCGAGGCAGTAAAGTCAGGTACTGTCTGTCTCTCTCCCTCGCCTTTTGTTTTCAATGGGTTTCATAGGTGGTATTTGAGGGTTGTAGTGTGTGTTTTTGTTTAGATCCGTCAAGCTTTGTTTGAATATTAAAAGGAAACATATTGTGACAGGTTCATGGTTATACCGGATATGTTGAAGAATGCTCCTATGTTCAAACGCTTGGATGCTAAGATCAAGGTACACATACTTGCAAGTTTATTGTTTACCAACAGTATACGCCTTATAGGATATTTTCTGACTTCATTTTATAACTTCGTGAAGGGTAAGAGCTCTTCTCTTGGAGTTGGCAGAGGTAGAGCTGTTGCAATGCGAGCCAAAGTAAGATCATGTTACTTCCATCCTGTGATGAAGATGGAACTCATGCTTTTGTAAACCCTTAACTTCTGTCTGTGCATCATTTCTCAATCTCAAATGTCAACCTTTTCTGTTTTGCAGGCGCAAGCTGCTGGCCGTGGCACAACATCCGGCAGAGGTGCTGTGCCATCTATTCGTAGATAACTTGGTCTCATGATTTGCTTTCCGATCTCGTCTGTTAGGAGCAGCAGCATATTTTATGTAAGGATCCGTATTTGATGTAAACGTTGAAATTAGATAGATGTTAAGGTGCCTGGAACCAAATGTTGTGTTCAAATTGAAATACCAAATTCTATGACTTTTTTTTAACAAAGGCTTTCTGAACAAGATAAAACTCTTCTGTTTTCAGTTCTGATAGCTTGCATAGGCTCCATGATCTGAAACAAATAAAAGCTGGTTTCGCTGGAATACTTATTATTTCTCTGGAACACTTATACTTAATCATACAAAATCTCTGGGAAATAGAAAAGGAATCATCTCCGGAAAAGAGAGGAAAACCAAAGAAAAAAAGGCTTACTTCAAGGGACAAAAGCATGAGTAAGTATCATGTTCATGAGGTTGCTCAAATGCATCCCCATTCCCTGCTGGGGGGCCAGATTTGATCAATCAAGCAAATACTTCTATGTTGTGCTAGGATTTAGACTCCAAGAGAAAAGTTGCAGGTTCAATTTTTGCAGCGTAACCATACTTAGATGTACAGTAATTGCGGTATACGCATGTAAGTTTCCCTGCCCCTGCCTTCTGATGGAAAGTAACCATCATTCTTGAGCAATCCCTACACCATCAAAACAAGAATTATCAGGAGTAAGCTTTTAACTGTGAACAAGGGAACTCCACTGTAATTTCAGAAGGGGAGATAAGTGCACTTTACATAAGTTGCTCTTCGGAGTAGTTAGCATACCACTCACTGGTCTTGCTCCAATACTTTAACCCACTATAGTACACTGCGCAGTGAAAATAGCAGCAGCAGCTAATAAAGGTGGATATTTAAGCATTTCACACTCAACTAGGCAAAGCTCAATCATGAAGAACGACAGAAGCTCAAGCTGGTTCAAAGTCACATTTAAAGCCTTCTCAGATTAATGACAATGTTGGAAGACAAGCAAAATGACTATGTTTTGTTGTCACAAACATTCCTGTGGGATTGAGCAGCTTTGAGAAATCTTCTCATAAATACGTAAGGAGTTGGAAAAGATAGGTTGAATTGTAAAGAATTGATCTTCAATTTCTCCTGCAAATGAATATATATATATATATATATATGTATGTATCATTCCCCTATTACATATGGATTCAATATATTATAAAACACAGTTTAATCTCACTAACCATGTCAAGCACTTCTTTCCTGTTGTAAGCCTTGTCAGAAATCAGAATCAGATCCTCTACAACCGAACTGAAACTTCTTCATATTTGCAGGCAAGAAGCATGGCTGTTATTCCGACCAGCTGAAGTTTCTTCCTCGTTACTTGATGAACCGATAAAAATTTATCGATTGTATTGACCGTCAGATATAGGGTCTCTTCCATCAGCTCAAATTTACAATGAGCCTATCAATTCATTGATGTAATTTTGAATTATTACCGAATTCATCTCATAACAAGGAGCAATGCCAATTAAACATTTCGTTTACCTCTATCAGCCAGTCAATGAGTATAGCTCTCATCCTCTCGTTAATGTCGGATTGTTGTGCCATATAATTTGTAGGAACACTACCAATACACTGCAAAAACTAACGAAAATTTCGAGAAAATGAACGAAAAGAAAATTATTTAACTACTCAATTGAGCATGAAATCACCTCTGCTTTCCTGTAGAACTTGTATAAATCATCAATGTACTCGACAACTGCAAGAGGATTGTTTTTATCATAGTTGTCGATGTCCAGAAACTCTTCATCAATATCTTCCATTTCAACGTCCTGCAAATGGAAGCAAAGCATCAATGCCTTTCGAACAAAAATCATGATACAAATCGATTGATGAGTCAGTAAAGGGAGGTGTCCGATACCATACGGTCAATATCCTCCAACATTGCTTCGACGTGTTGCTTAAACATTGGTAAATCAGATTCATTACCAGACTCGGGGTCATCATCTAAATCTGTTATAGTGCGATCATCAGATTCATTTGGAACTGGCTCTGGCGGGACTGATTTCTTTATTAACTGTAAGAGAAACTAATCATTAACATCAAAATTTGAATAATAACCATAAAATATTATTGTAAATTTGGTACCTGGGGTTTGATTTGCTGCTTTTTAGCCATCTCGGCAGCAAACTTCCTGATAAGAAGAATCTTTACCAAAAAAAGGACAGAAGAATATGCTATTTCCTTATGGAAACCAAAACTAACATCACAAAACATAAAGAAAATTTTACTGTGTCTTGATTACAAATTCATGTTTCTTGCTGCTGAGAAAGAGAAATGCAGAACTATTTTCAATTAAAATGAAAGTTTCATTTTTGGACAACTAAAGAATTCCAAGATAAACTCCTCATTTACATCATTTATTAAAATCCCATTCAGGAATCACAGACAAAGCCAACGATAGCAAACTGGGGCGAAAGAATTTAAGAAATTACACACTCGGACAAAGGTCTCTTTTTGACAGCACAAGGGAAAGGTGGAGCTCCAACTAAGTCTCGATTAACTGGGCCCAACGTCTCGATTCTGCCCGGTCGCCGCCACGAACTTCCCGCCTCTGCCAGCTCGCAAACCCCCTTTTATTTGAAATTAAAAAGAAAATAAATTTCTTTAAAACTTAACATCTTGAAGAATCCCCTTTTATTTAAACATCAAATTGGGTTAACAGAAAAATGGGGTTTCATTAGTCACCTTGAAGATGAGAGGGCCCGATGACTCCAGGATTGTTCTCGTCTGATCCAGCCATATTTCCCGTATCTACAAACAACGAATATATACAATAAGAATCCCCAAATTATGGTCGTCAAAATCAAGACACATCGACCAAGACTAAAGCAATTCTTTTCTTTTAAAAGACTAAAGAAAGGAAGATCAATAAATCATCTTCAATAAGAAAACAGTAAAAAAAGAACCTGTAACAATAACAATTTTCCTCGTTGATTTTCGAACCCCAAATAAAAAACTTCGTCTCCTTTAACGTTCTCTTAACGGAAGAAAGGGAAAAATGAAATTAAAAAGAGAGATTACTCAAGTTTGGTATTTGAAAGTGGACATCAACGAGTGATCTCTCACTCGCTCGCTTTTTATTTTCTTTCTACCGTTCAGGATTTTGGGTTTGTTTCTGTTCTTTTTATTCTTCTACACGAAGGGGCCAAATTAAGTAGAGACAGAGAGGCGGAACTTCTCTACTTCAAATCTAACGGCTAGTTAATTGAAGGAAAGGTCGCAACGCTTAATCTTAAGGGTAAAGTGCACAAATGCTATATAAACTATGTTAAAATATCCTTTTGACCACTGAACTTTCAAATATTATAAAATTATCATAAAAAATTTTATTCGATTACGGAATGGTGATCCGCTGTTAGCTGTTGTTTACTGTCATCTAGTTAAATATTTTAAATTTATTTTTCATCAAATCTAAGTTATCATTTAAAGATCAAATTGATAAGTCGATGATTACATTTATGGAAGGACTTAATTAAAAGATACAGATAATTTGAAGATTCATTTAAAATATTTTTAAAGTTTAGAAATCTAGAATCTGAATTATAGAGGGCATCTAATTCAAATATCTCTAAAAATATAATAAGATGGAAATAATCAAAGTCGACAATAAAACTTATAACCTTAGATAATCAACCCTTTGTTTATCAAAGAAATTTTGATTGATCCATTTATTATGTTTAAATTTGTGATTTAGTTCATATATTTTAATTTTATATGATTTGATAATGGTTTTCTGTAATCTTGTTAGTTAGTCCAAATAGCTAGACTTGTTAATTATTTCAGTTAAAATGCAAACATGGTTAATTTCTTAAAAACGTCCATAATTCAAACAAAAAAGAAAGGGGAAGAAGAAAGATTTATGTTAGCATGATGAGTTAGATGAGATGCTTTTAAGAAGAAGAAAAAAACCTTTGTTAGGACCTTAATCAGAATAACTAATGATACTATAAAAGTAGAAATATCAAATTAATCAGATTAAAGCACAAAGACACGTGGAAAAAAGTGTACAAGGACTAAATTCCACGTTTGAACATATTATAGGGATTAAAACTATAACTTGACCTTATCTATTTAAACTTTATATGGGAGGATGAGATCCACTTATATGCTGCAAAAATTTATTAGTTTTACACTAATTTACAACCATTTAACTAAAAGAAATCAATAGTAGAGACTATATATATAAATTGGTATCTAAATTTGACTTCATGGTTTAAATAAGTTCGAAAAAATCATTTATCACTAATTGTCAATTTGGACCAAAAGGTGAAGTTCAATTATCAGTTTGAACCAACAAGTCAAGTTCATTTTCTTTGTACAAAAAGATTAGATTAGGGGTGGCTTTTCCAGTCTAGGGTCAAGGTATACCTAAGATCCAATTGAGATTTGTATAGGAATTTACAAATTGGTATCTAAATTTGCTAACCCAATTGGCATACCTAATTAATATAAAATTTAAATTTAAATATCAAACTATATCTTAAAACTAAGTGCAAATACTAAAATATATATTTAACAACAATACCATACTTTAGTCACAAAATCTAAATCCAAAATTGTTAGTGTGGGAGATCAAAGTACAAACTATTTTTTTGTTCACAATGAATAGTTGAGACAAATTAATTAGATTTTATTAAGTTAGGAAGATGAGTAATTCCACAAGGTTCTGTGAGATAAAGCAAACCATGCATGGGCGGATGTAGGTGGCTCCCTATGGAGCTACTGCACACCCATTATTTTGAGAAAAAAATTAAATTTAGTTTAATTTGTTAATGCAAAAATAAGAAAATTTTCCTACCTAAAATATTAGAATTGAACATTAAAATTTTAAACCCCATTTTTTAATTATTAGATCCGTCACTGAAACCATTTTAAATTTCTAGTCAGTCATTGAAACCATGGCTGTCCATTTAAGAGTAACATACTTTGGAAACAAATCTATTTTAATAAATTAGGACCAATGCGCTCCTCCGCCTGAAAAACTTCTGAATTCCAATAGATAAAGCCCGCCAAAGAATTGTACTCACGTACCAGCATTCATGCATGCAAATTTAGGGTTATGGTTTATTCTCCACGTTTCTCAGGAAATTTATAAATGATTAATGTTTTGATCGATTATATCTTGGAGATGGTGGTGATGGATGCCGGGGATGGTGAAGATGGAGGATGGGAGAATGTTGTTGATGACAACGAAACGAAATCTCCGGCCGATTTGGCTGATGAAATGGTGACTATGATCGAATACGTTGCTCGATTCGGGGATTATCGGAGAACCCAAAAGAAAGAATGTTACAACCTGGTTAGGCGGTTGAAGATTTTCTTTCCTTTCTTCGATGAGAATCGTCACCTTCGTTCTCCGATCAGCCCAAAAGCCGAACGGTGTGGCTTATTTGTCTAAGTCAAACAAAGCGATTCGTTTGGCCACGAAGCTATTGAAAACTTGCAACGAGGGTAGCAAGATTTACCCGGTAATTAACAAGGACATGTCAATTCTCATTGTTGATTACAAAAATTCTGGGTTTTTGCCTTTGTAATTAAGGCATTCGAAAGTGAGGCTATGATGATCAAGTTCCACATTGTTTACGTGAAGTTAACACAAGCTTAATTTGGAAGATTTGCCTTTCGATGAACTTCGGGTATGAGACGAAGTGAGCGAACGGGTAAGAAAACGCCATCTTTCTTGCCTTTGTAATACACTGATTACTGGTAATATTATATCTTAATTTGATGTTTATTCAGATTCAACTGATGCTGACACAATTAACCCGAGCCAAAAAGAGAACTGATACACAAAGATACAAAGCTTCCAGACTCCAGTAGATTTAATGGCGATATCCTCAAAAACAGATGAAAGGAATGCTGAATATTGCTGATACAGCCATCGTAAAAGAGCTAGCCAAAAAGCTAGAGCTAATGTAACACCCCAAACCGATACAGGTACTCTGATTCAATCTGAGGTGTCACATTAAGGCCACCGGAGCGACCCACAATAAAAATTTAAGAAAATTTTAAAATTTTCATTAAAACATGTAAAATCATAAAACAATTTTATAATAAAATACAAGTTCAGAAATCATTCATATATTATGAACAGAATTAAAATCATACAAGTTTCTGACTTGGTATAAAATCGAATGCGACTTACATGCTCCCTAATTACACTGGTATCGTACTCCACAAGCAACGCCGAAAGAACTCCCATTGATGTCAATAATTGCACAAGATAGATCTTTAACATGAAATTGTGAGTTAAAGAGTGAGCTTTGGGAAGCTCCGTAATATAGAACTATCAGATGATGCTGAAAGACATGCAGATAAATGTTAAGCATAAATTTTCCTTATTGATTCATGCATCTATAGGTTTTTGTGATGAACGGAGGTTCTATTGATGTTTCTTCATGTAACAAACAAGAAGCTCGTAGTTCAGAGGATCATGTTCAGGAGATTGAAAATAGGCGTCTATTGTGTTCCCATAAAACAGAAAATGGTTCAAAAAAACAGTAGTAGTTTATTTCAGGAAACAAATTTTTAAAATCACTGTAATACCCTCCTCCCGAACACTCCATATGAAATTTCCCAGAACATGCATCTATAAGGACTTACTATAGCAAAATTGTTCTACAACGTCGCTTTTAGTGGCGTTTTAGGAGTAAACGCCACTAATTTTAAACATATAGCGGCGTTTACATACTAAACGCCACAAAATGGTAATTTTAGCGGCGTTTTTTATATAGGGTATCACTTTAGCGACGTTTTTATACAAACGCCGCAATAGGTTCATCTATAGTGGCGTTTTTTCAACAAACGTCGTAATGTGAGTAGTACTTTAGCGGCGTTTTTATAAAAAATATCGCTATAAAATAGCATTTTAGCAGCGTTTCAGTACAAACGCTGCAATAGGTTCATCCATAGTGGCATTTTTCAACAAACGCCACAACATAATAGTACTTTAGTGGCGTTTGTAACTAAAAATGCTGTAATAGGGTTAACGTTTAGTGTCGTTTTGTTAAAACGCCGCACTTGACAAGATATTAGTGGCGTTCGAAATTGAAAATGCCGCAAAGTTTGTATTTTTATCTTCTAAAACCCTAGCCCTTTTTCATCTTATTTTCTTTCTGGTTTTCCTTTACTTCCTTTATGTCGTTTACCCGAAACCCATAAATTAATTTCTGTCGATCTTAGTCCTTCTTTGGTTGCTTCGTTGATCTCACAAATTCCTTTCTCCAAATCTGTTGCTTCGCTGCTTTGCCCATCTGTTTCGTTGCTTCGCTGTTTCACTTTGCCAGACCTCAAACCCATCTGCTTCGCTACTATACATGAAATAACAGGTAGAGAATCGCTTTCGAGGTAACAAAAAAGGTTACTTTTTACCCTTTTGTCTTGCATTTCATGTCGTTGTCGAACCAGAGACAAAATGGTGTTACCTTTTATGACTTTTTTCTTTACATATTGAAAAGCTTTGTTATTTTGGGGTACAAAAACGTTTCTTACACCAAAAAGTGGCCTTTGATTGCGCACTTGAGATGAAAAATGATTCATCTTTTTTCATTTTTTTTCTAGGAAACTTTGTGTTTGTCATTATTATATTCATTCGGCCTATCTCTAATGATGACAAAGGTTGAATTGGATGGAGGCTCATGAGTTTACTGCAATCATTTGGTGCCCATTTTTCCTTTGGTTAAAAGGAATGAAAATCTAATCCTTTTGTTCATGATTCTCTCATGATATTAAGGAAGCGTCGCCAATTCTTTCCTTCTTGCTCTTCTCTTCACAGAGTAATTACAAGTGTATTACTTAAACATATCAGTTAGCTTAATATGTTTTTGTCATTAATCTTAATCATGGAAAACTCTTCCATTTCTGCGTTGAATGATTATGTCTCTTGTTCGGAGTGAATGCATTTACATTATATAATGAATAGTTAAGAGCTTAGTTACAAAGTTTAACATCCAAATTTTGAACCTGATGTGAAACTAATTGGTATTAAATGGTTTGCTTAAAATTGAAATGTAGGTTGATGAGGATGAAGTTCACTGGAGACGAAAGAAAGTCCGTCTAAAGTTGGAATGGCCACACAATTCCACTCACCTCATATCACAGTTAGCTCAATGTTTTAGTGAGTAGATTTTCTTGATAAATTCTTTCAGCATTCCTAATTAGCATGGTTTTAGCTTTCAACATTCAGTTTACAACTCATTGTTTAATATCTCTCTCTGATCAGCCTCGACTGATTGTAGCTAATGCTATGGTTGGACCACGATCATGGATAGGAGGGCTCTTCAATCGCTTCGTCAAACGCACTGAGAAGTTTCTTGACTACAATTTGAATCCTATTCAGGTAATTGACAATGTGAAGTTAGGACTGATAAAGATTTAGGAACTCCATTACAAGACGGATTACGATAGAAAATTAGACTTTCTTGAGAAGAATTGAACTGGATTTTGCCATCGTTTATTGGGTATTCAGTCTAGTGATGTGCCAGGATAATTTGTTAGGGTGATTTGTATTGATCTATCATGTGTATGTACATATATATTACATATACATATAAACATCTTCATTCCATTCTCAGCTCCAGTAATAATAAAATTGATATATATATATATATATATATATATATTTATATATATATATATATATATACTAATTCTGATCAGTAACAAAGACTTCGAAAGCTTCAAGCACGACTACACGTACCCTTTGACGAGACTCATCCCGACCATCAGACATTTTCTTCATTCTTTTAACATCCATATTGTTTTCCATCTTTTCTAACTATGAGCCTTTGGTGTGACAGAAAGCTCTCATGAAATTGTGGAACATTACCTTTCCCAATGTTGTTATAACAGGCTTGATCTATGAACAGTGGAAAGAGATGGGGTGGCAAGGTGTTAATCCATCAACCGATTTTCGGTACGCTTCTGTCATTTTCGTTTTATGATTTTTTAACTTGCTATATGTACATAGAGGTATCTAGGAGACTCGAAAAGGATGTGTAATAAATAGAATACCGTAATTTTATTTGTCTAAAATCAAACTTTATTTTGCATATTCTGAATTTGAGCTCAGTTTTAAGATGATCTTATGTTTCTTTTTTTTTTTTTTTTGATAAAGGTTGTGGATCTTATGTTTCTTGCATTTATTCTTGTTTACAAGTATGTCATAAGCAGACCTTGAAACTCAGAGTTGATTACAATTCATTCAATACTACAAATAAGAGTTGCATAACCTATTCAATTTTGTTTTAAACTATAACTATTTCATTGAGCAAGCACATATGAATTTATGAGGGATGACACTTTTGATGACATTCCAGACCATGATTATATTAATGATTAAAATTATTTTCCTAAGCAGTTTCATGCAGCTCTCTGACATATTATCTACTCTTGGTCCATGGAAGGTGAATAAGTAAACTTATGTAATAAAGGATTAAAATTTTAAAGGGCCAAGCTGGATTTATTCAAAAAGTCGTCCCTCTAATAGAACAGAAGCAGTTGTATGAATTAGCGTAATTAATGTGAATAGTTAGGGGAAAAACTTTAATTTTTTCATTATTTTTCAAAAATAAAAGATTTATCATTTCGTCCAGTTCCAATAAATTTTTTAAGACTAAATATGACTGAAGGATTCATTTATTATTCATTTATTAGTAAAATATTTTATCAACAATTAATTGATTAGTAAAATTAAGTGTTTGATCATTTAAATAATATTTAATATTTGGATCATTATATTATAAATGGAGTATATTTTTCTCATTTTTTGAGAAATAATGTATTATTGACCTGCTAAGAAGGATAAGAACAGTCTCTCATGAAAATTTTAAATTCTCATATATTTTATCTATTTTTATATAATTTTTATTAATAACTTATTTTCATCTCTTCTGAATTATTATAAGTTTGTCCCCTAAAACATTATATTTTGATCCCTAACATGAAATTATATATTCGATCTTGTTTATATTAAAGTTTATTCTTATCTAGTCGTCCAACAACTTATCCTTGTCCTCCAAAACGACCAAAACTCTTCATGGGACTTGGAAACTCAAGTCTGCTGAAGAAGGAGAAACAGCTGTTGCTGAGCAACAAGACTCTGTTTCTGTTCCTGACTCTCCCTCTGACACTCTCAGAATGTATTTCCAGGTATGGGTTTTTTCACTTTGCTACTTAAATTATGAAAAAAGTTCAATTTGTTTTTCATTAACTAAGGGGGAATTGTCATTATCTTTGTCAAAGGGTTGCTTTAGATAATGTTGGATTTTGAACTTCTTTTTTGAGTTTTTCTTAGATGTTTATCTATTTGTTACTGAATTCTGGAAAAATGTATCATGTTTTATAGTAGTGCTTAAAAAATCTCCACTAGGGGTGCATCTTTCAATTACTTATTGCATAGAATTTGAATTCTTGAAATTAGGCAGAAATCGGTTCCATTGACTAGTTTTTGCTTGAAATTGTATATTTGTCTGCAAATTTTTTCTCTTGGAACTATTCATTCATAGGTCACTAACAATCAATCTTGATTGTTTGAAGGCAGATGAAATGTTGAATGAAGCTGAAATTCCAAAGGCGAGTAAGGCATTAGAGGTATATAATCAACCTTTTGACTTTCAAGCAAATTATAGCAACATTTAGGTTTTGCAGACAAAAATGATCATTTTAACAGGCAACTAGGTAGATTTATCTTCAGATTGAATGAAGGGGAGGAATCTACTTCTTACTTCATCCGGTGTCCCGATCATAGTCCAGTGTTTCACTTGATCCCTTAGAAAATGGCTTCTTGCAGAGGAAGAGATTTCACATGGTTGCCTTGTATTATCTCTCACCGAAAAGTAAAAGAGAAAAATCTATAATCATATTGTTGTTTAATTGTACTACTATGTTTATGTCGATATTATTAATGGGAGGTTCTTTGATTTTGTTTAGAGTATATACTATAATTGAATCTGTTGGGATAATTTATTTGTTTGTTGCAGGGAGCCGAAGGTGTTTCCAACTTGAAGGTTCAAGTCCTTGAGTGTATTGGTACTGTTGAGGTGAGTGTTCTTTTTGTTGTTGATTGATATATCTTGTATTTAAGCTTTCAGATCACTTCCCATGAGCACCTTTGATCTATCGGGTCATAAAACTCGAATTCATAGTTGAATGAACAAAAATTAAACAAAACAATCAGTCTGTTTTTCCTGTCTTTATTACAAGACCCTTTTCTCTAGGACTCCTAACTTTAATCCATGGTTCATTCATCTAGTTTTCTACATTATATTCATTCATAGAGTTTTCCCGTCTTTATTTCGTTCTTTCTCAGTTAACTAAACAGACGACGGTCCAAGCTACCAGAGTGGCATCCAATTTGGTGGAGCTCATACAGGGTGCAGGATTCAAGTTACAGACATTGAATTTGAGCTTCGATGATGAAGAAGACATTCTTGCGTAGATGTCGTATTTAGATTTTGAAAAACTTGTCGTTGAAGTTCTCTGGCTCCTTTCTTTTGATTCATTCTGGTTTATCTTTTCTTCTAGTAGTTTATGGTTTAGGATAGGAAAAATCAAGCAGTTGTAGGGTGTAGTCCAGAAGGTATTCTTTTAAAAGGTAGAGCTTAGCAAAACTCGTTTGTTTTAGTAGCATGCATATCAATGTATATCCACTATCCTTATATATATATATCGCTTGATTCACATGCATAAAGTATTTGGAAAGTTCAGTTTGCTTATTGGCTTTACAAGATTTCTAGTTCATACCAGCATAATAGACTTGAAGAAAAAGAGATCTTTCCTTGTGTCAATTTTAGGGTTTAATGCCTTTTATTCCTACGCATACTCACCCAAATTTTGTGGAGATGTTGGAGAGATGCTGGCAACAGGATCCATCTTGTAGACCCGAATTCGCTGAAATTTCAAAAATGTTGGAAGACTTGGCCAGTAGATAGAGGGAGGTTGTAAGAGATCATCATTTGCTTATGCTTTCCATTAAGAAATGTCCAATAACCTTGAAAATGGTTGTAGACAGAGAAAAATGGGAGGAGTTGCAGAAGTTGAATCTCCAAGAAAATTTGGAATGGCTTTTAGGTCAGGAATCCAACCAAATGGCATTTGTAGCTTATATTATATGTATACTAATTTATTTTTCTTTCCATATGTGGACTTGAACTTAATATTTTCGAAGTAATGAATATATTTTAATGTTTATAAATTTTAATTTATTTTTTTGATAAAATTTATGGTGGTTGTTATTTATATAAAGTTACATGATATTAAATTTAGGTGATGTATAGGAAGAATGTAATATGCAAAATATCAATTAATTTTAGCTAAAGAATGGTAATTAGCGGCATTTATATCAAAAAACGCCGCTATAGATCTGACCTTTTGCAGCGTTTGTGTCCAAAAACACCGCTACAGATCTGACCTTTTGCGGCGTTTGTATCAAAAAAAGCCGCTATATATCTAACCTTTTGCGACGTTTTTTCCAAAAACCCGCTATAGATCTTGACCTTTTGCGACGTTTGTATCCAATAACGCAGCTATATATTTACCCTTTTGCAGCGTTTTTGGCAAAAACGCCGCTAGAGAACTTGACATTTTGCGGCGTTTGTATCCAAAAACGCCGCTATAGATCTCGACCTTTTGCGGCGTTTGTTCCTAAAACGCCGCTATAGATCTTGACTTTTTGTAGCGTTTTTATATCACAAACGCCGCCAACATTAGTGGCGCTGGTATGGACAGCGTTTCTTGCGGCGTTTTTACTATCGCCGTGAGTGCTTTTAGCGGCACTTAAAAACGCCGCTATAGAACTAAAAACGCCTCTAAAACTCTATTTTGTTATAGTTACTCTCCATAATGAGAATGATCAAAACGGAAAGGAATTACTAGCTAGCTAAACTTCAGAGTCTCCATAATCCTACTCAATCATTACCCCACTATAAATCAGTTTAATAGTAACTAATAATATCAGAGGTTGGGAGCTAGATATATTATATCAAAAAACAGAAATCAGAGATGGGTTTTTATTTAAAATAAAAAGTTACTCTCCAACCGTACACCAAATACAAATCCACAAAACATGCATCCATAAGGACTTACCCTAGACCCCTAGGATCTAGGAGTCCAATATGAATAATCAGAACATAAATGAATTATCAACTAGATGAACCTCAAAGTCTCCAGACATTGACACAGGCAGTACCCCTATAAAATAGTTTCAGATAAAACCGGTAAAATTAGAATATCATAAATCAGACATTTTACAGTAACAGTAATCCAGATAACAGGTACCAGACCATAAAAAATTTCAGATCAGTAAAAATTGAATTTAGGAAAATCAGGAAAATTAGTTAAAACAATCATGTGTATTTGGCAGTTCTTATATATATTTAAAACAAATAAATATATCACACAAGGAACACATTAGAGGGTCCGGATATTTTATGGAGACATGGTAGTTATCAGGGAGGGAAAACGTGGTACTTTTGTAGATTGGTCAGATTTCATAATAGAGGTACCTATTAAAGGGTTCATTTAACAGATCTAATCAACATTCATAAATTGATGTTTCGTGACTATTTACGATTTAGGGTGTATCAAGAAGGTATTCAAGAATCTTTATATCAGATTTATTTAAAATCCATATGTAACGTGAGTGATTCCATTAATCTAGCATTCAGGGATATTTTTTGACATTTTGATTTTTTGAAGAATTCTTAATAATTTAACTCAATAAGGGTAAAAAGATAACTTACCTTATTCAGAATTTATATCGAATTATCAGGATTTTGGGTCAATCAGGTTAAACATATTTCAACAGTGCAATACTCACTAATCAATCGGTCTAGTATCTTTCAAAATATTCATTTCTTAATACTGATTACACTAGTTGAACTGATCATCATCAAATCACCAATGAAACAGATCTTGAGGGACGAATAGGTATTCCGATGATATTAATTATTTAGGTATTATAATCTTATCCATCAAGACTGACGTGTTTGGGTCTTCTCCATAAACTTTAGGGGCAATAACAATATTTAATGTGTCATTGTACTTTCAAAACTTATCCCCAGACATTTCCTTAATCTAGATCACGAGGGTATTAGGGTCATTTCAATAATCGAGTTATTTTAGTCATCTCAGAATTCCATATTAATTTCCATTGTCTTAGGAGATCCAGTCTTTTTTCATTTCAAGAGTATTTCAGTCAAATTGATCAATTTTGTCATATGCATTACTTCTAGTAGATTCATCTTCAGGTGTTTACTCAATAATCGAATTTCTAATTATTCTTCCCGCTCGGAGGCTAAAATTTATTATCAGGATTTCTCTAAACAAAACCAACACTTAGTAGGTGGGAACATTTGTTTTATCGGGTCAAGTATAACTTTTTAGGGTTATTTCCACTTCCTAGAGCAATCCTTGTCTTTTTACATCACATAGGTATTTTCATAATTTCTTACCCATGTATTTCTGGCATTTAACTTTTAACGAAAATAATTAGAATTTACAGATCTTGAGGTTAATTAATTTAATGATAAATCATTGAACTTGAATTTATTTCTAATTAGTCCTCCAATTTCTTATAAGGGTTATCCGAGTCTTATACGATTTACTAATTTCTTACCATAAGCAATAATTAACTACACATAATTGACCAATAATTTTTATTCATGCAACCAATACTAACATGTTCCTTAAAGCATGCAAAAAGTAGTAATGCAATACCTTAATTTCCAAGCAACATCGATCGACCAATTAAACTTCATTCAATTGCTCTCGAAATTTAATTCCACGCCCATAATGTCTTAAATACATGGTAAAACAATTTGCATAAAAACTTAAATGTGAAAATTTGTATTGAATCATGAGATAAAATGCTGAAAAATAGCTTATTGGGTTTGAATTTAACGAATCGAACTTCAAATTCGAAACCATGATGTCAAAAAAACACATAAGATGACTTCTAAAAAAAAAGTCAATTTTTCTTCAACAATCAAAGTAACCCCTGGTCAAAGTCAAATTTAATTCAAAGTCAACGATGGCTCGATTCGGTCAGCGGCTCTGCTCAGTAAGCGACTCGGCTTATTCCAACAAAACCGGTTCGAGTCAAGAGGCCTAGACAGGTTCGAATAGTTTGGACTAGTCCAGACCAGTCTGGAAGTCTCTCACAGATTCCTAGGATGTACGTGCGTCGACGAAAATGACAGGGGCGAACGACCAATTACTCTTGTCCTTTACTCACCATAAACAACCCAAATTCAATCAGATATCAAGGCAAAACAAGGTGAAATGAATGGAAAATAGCTCGGAGGTTAACCACAACAACGATCGACGAATGAGCGACAAAAGAGCAACGAGCCTGGTCAGTTCTTGACCGGAACGAGTCAGGGGTTCTAGCGGTGAAGTCACCAGACACCGGGATCGACTCGAATCGACAACTATCTTGATTTTCGACGAACGTTCAACGACTTATTAACAACTAAACGACGCGACTACTCGGGAGAAGGGTGGTCGTGTTTTGGTCGCAGGTGGACGGAGAACATGTCGGAGGAGGCAGTGTTAGTAACGGCGATCGGAATCAATGATGGACAGGCCGATGGCTGCAAAGATTTGGGGCTTTTTTAATTTTAGGGATTTTGATTTCAAAACGAATTGGGGAAGATTTAGGTATTTAAAATCCCATCCATTTAAGCTTAAAAAATATTTTAATCTCTTTTTGAGACTAAGGCATGGGTGGCCATCTCAGGTCACTGGTTCAAATTACCCTATCCTCCTATTTTCATTTATTGTTTTTGGCTGAAAGTGATGGGCAAATTCAGGTTAAATTTCTTGATTTTCCTGAAATTTAGGAAACTGACCCTTGAGGTTTAAGAATTTTACAGTTTGGTCCCCAAAATTAATTAATTATTTTTACAATCAAAATTGGAGTGTGACAGCTACATACTGTCGATGACTTGAAGACGGAAACCATAGCTGTACAGAAACTTGCTAGAGAAAGAGGCGGCATTTCAGAGTCTACACTGCAGCAGATTAGACGCCTTCTCAACAAATTCAAGCAGTTTTTCGGCATGGATATTACCAATATTCTTTATCATCCTTCCACGACTCAGATATCGGAGAAATCCCAATCTTTGGCCATCCCTTCCGAGTTCCTCCGTCCCATCACACTTGATATAATGAGAGATCCCGAGATCCCGTTATTATTGTCATTTGCCAGTGGACGTGTATGCGTGCGCGCGTACGTGTGTGTGTGTGCGTGTGCGTGTGTGTGTCTGTGTGTGTGTACGTGTATGGATTATTTTTACATGATTGGTCACCATGAAATTCAGACATTTGAAAGGGAGAGCATCGAGAATTGGTTTGGTTCTAACCATCGAACTTGTCCAAAGACCAGAGAGACTCTAGCTACTTGTCAGTGGCACCAAATTATGTCTTCAAGAACCTTATCACACATTGGTGTGAGAAGAA